ATCCGTTATGAAACTCTAGAACGCTTTTTTTCTCGTTAAATCGTTAAATCTTTAATGACTCTGCACGCGATAATTTATTAAAACTACATTAAATACGTAAGCTGATGTGGGTGTGATTGATTGACTAACAATCACATCCATGCCCACGTCCACACCCATACCTACACCCTCAAAAACTTGTTCTTTTTTCTTATTTCTCTTACTTCTTTATTTGTTTTTTTGCATCCGACATCAGACATAAATATTTTGTTCGAACAAAAAACAAAACACAAGAAAAGTCTAGATATATATATATCTTTTCATGTTTTATCAGTGTCTCAAAAAGAGAAGAAAAAATTATGACATTATATTGAATCATAGTTGTCGTCGAACTTTCAATGACTGTCTTCATTTTGATGCCAACTCAATGATAAAGACATAAAGACTAAAAATGCAAGTGGAAAGAAAAAGGAAAGCAATTTCTTGATTAGGAATATAGTAATTATTCCATGCTGCCAGCTTTTCTATATTTGGTACATACATAACAAAAAAAAGAAAAGAAAATGCAACATCCACGACCTATATCTTCAAACTTCTCATATTAAAAAAAATTATTTTAAATAACTATTACAAAAAAAAAAGATGTCATAAACATATTCTCATTTACAAATATGCCATGCGTGTTATATCATTGTCAACTTTTTAGAAAAATTAATTCAAATAAAATTATATACAACATTTACAATAAGATATCGTTTAAGAGTTTTAATTTTGTTAATAAAAAAAGAACATAATTACCAAAATAATGATCATCAAGTGATAGAAGAATCTATAATGAAAAGTTATAGAATTAAATAGTATTCAAATTATTCTATCAATAAAATGTAATAAACAGAATTTGGTTAAAAGCAGAAAAAAATATTTAGGGCTTCATTGAAAAACACTATTGAAAAAAAAATCTCAAATAATCAATTTTATTCTATAATTTTATGAAAAATATTTCTCTTAAAAATATTAATTATGATTCATATATTGTGAAGAATTATTTATAAATACCTTGTTATAAAATAACACATCGTCGTTTTTTTCGTTTACGACCATAATCTTTCTTCGGTCGTCCATAACCATCAGTTGAAACTTTTTTTTCATCTAAATCATCGAACCAACTATCCACACCACCCATTAGTATTTTAACAACATACTTAATAAAAATAAATTTTCAATAAAAAAAAAAAAAAAGAACAAATTTATTAATGGGAATAATATAAAATGACTTACATCACCAAAACTAAACGGGAAATCTTTTCCTTGAAGTGCTTGAATTTCTTTTTTTTCATTTCTATAATCGTCGACAACATCAAGATTCGGAATCTTTTTATCCCAATCATTTAAATATGCCATACAATCGTCATCGTCTATTGTAAAGAAATTAAAAAAAAACAAAACAAATCTATTGAATTCAATGATCAATTTTAATTTATCTTATACCTGTACAAGCAATAATTGTCACAGGGATATGATTTGTTGGTTTACGTTCTCGTTTAAGAACATGTTTCAATGAACGAATATCTCGATTACCTTGATCATCTGTTGGTACACCATCGGTTGCTAAAAGTATCAGTAATTTACGTTCTTCTATTTCATGCTGTTTATCACGAAGTAAACGTCGAAAAACTGAAACAATTGGAGTTGGACCTTATTAGAATAAAAGAAAAACAAGAGAATTCATTGAACATGAAAATAATAACAACATTCAACTATTATTATTGAACATACCAGACGGTGGAATAGCAAAGACAGATACCAATTGTTCTGAATTACGTACATGAAATACAGGTTCACGATTAAGAAAATAAATATCAACACCATCCGGATCAAAAACACTAGCAAGATCAACAACAATTGATACGGTTTGTTTTAATTCATCCCCTATTATTATAAAAACTAATATTCAAATATTGATCAATTTAATCATACATCGAGTTAGCCTTTTATTAGAAACACCAGCAAAATCGCCTAAAATAATAAATGATAATTTAATTAGATAAATATATTAGACATTTAAAATTAAATTACTAAGTGGAGTATTCATTGAACCTGAATCATCACAAATAAATACGATTTCATAGCCTTCAAGCATACGTAATTTTGTCGCAAATGTATGGTTGACTAAATAATAATAAGAAAAACATAAATTCTTTTATTTATTAAACTTACTTTCATAACGACCAACAAGTTGTTGAAAATCAACCATACGCTCTTCAGTTGATCGATAATAATCGAGTGGTTGTTGATTAGCATGCATATTATTTGAATATGCAGGTAGTTCTTGTTGTATTTCTGAATATTGCTTTTCACACATAGTTTTCTTGTTCTATTTCATAAGAATGAATTTGCAAAATATGCCTATCAGCCAAGATAAAACATTACTTATAAATTGTAGAAATCTAAATAAGCGAAAGAATGACGTTTATTTGCATTGAAGCAAATGATAGATAACGAAGAGAAGAATGATGACGCATCCATTTTTAAGCAAAAATGGTATGAATGCTGATGGATGTGAGTTTTGAGTGTAGGCGAGAGTGTGAGCGCGAGTGAGGAACTCCCACCCTTCGAGCATAGATATACAACTATTTAAGTTATCTATGCCAGTTTTTTTCTATTTTTTATTTGTATAAAAATATGATTTAACTCACTTACAGAATTACTTAGGTTCTTTCAATTTTAAGTATTTTGTTTCCATATCTCTTTGTAATATAAATGATGGTGTACAACACTGATTACATCAGATAATTTCGTCATGATAGTAGTATTATCATTAAATTGATTCAATAAGACAGAGTTTTATGAAAGAATTAACTGTAAAATCGAATTTTTCGGTGAATGATTAACAAGCAACTTAATATGTATGAATGATATCGTGAGAATATTCTGAAAGAAGTTTTACTTTATCTACACTTATTTTCATCGATAAATCATCAATATATTTTTTTCTTTTAGATCTGCATACATTTCATCTGCTTGCTGATTTAGATATTAAATAAACACACTTCTATAAATGACTTACTTCTCTAATTGTTCATTCATTAGTTCTTCTATAAGATTAGCATGATCAATATATATATATATAACCTTCACATTTATTACGAGTGATTTTATAACTAACTAATACCAATTAGTTTTACATTTTTACATTCAGTTAGAAAATAAATAGCTTTGCTTTATTTGATCTGATAGTTCGAACTTTTTCAATAATTCGAAACAGTGATGCATATTTAATGAATTCATCTCTTTTTTGATATTTATCGAAAATCCTTCAATTGAATTTTGAATTTCTGAAGATGATATTTTTTCTAGTTTTATCTGCTCTTCTAAATATTGAAATTCTTTATCTATTTCTATTTGATCAGGTAATGAGATGTTTTAATCCAGAATAATGATGTTATCGACTAATTTAAGAGAAATATACATGACACAGTAAACTGTTTATGCATACTTCTGAGCACAGTATCATTGAGCAAAAATCTTGGTATCTATTACTTAGAGTTTTCTTTGTAATTGAAAATTTCTTCTACTTACAGCTTTTTATTACATCATGTGCAAATTTCTTTGATATTCCATAGTTAATATTTCTATAAAAAGATTTTAAAGCATTGATTTTATCGACTAACAATTAAATATTTCCTAATCCTGATAATGAATTCACTCGTTTTCATATGATATTCTGTTTTTTCTTCATGTTTCTGCAATGTTTCGTATGATTCAAGTATTGATCGGTTTCTCTCTCATCGATAGAAACATTTGTATTCAACGTATGACTCATTATCCTATCTGTTTTCCATTTGCTTAATTCGTTTGAAGATCTTTTTTCTTTCTTAAACTCATTATATCTATCCTGTTTTTCATGCAGTTCAAGTGATAATCGATAACGAACTGTCAGATCTTTAATGAGCAGACAGATCATTCGATGCTCCTTATGTCAAAGAAAAACTCTTACTTCGCAGATATCTTTTTTCAACTATTTCTTATAAAATCATTCAAATTTTTGTCACTCAATCCAACTAATAAATATTTCGTATTTAGTCCAATAACATATGATGCTACATAAAATAATGTTACATTTGATAGAATTATGAAAAAATCTTCTGATACATGAAATTTAAGTCATTTTATATTACGAGTAGAGTGCAATGTTTGATTAACTAAAAGAACGCTAATAGCAGAAAATAAAACATTTCTTTAAAGACAAAGAAATTGGCTAAGGTCATGAGCCAAGTTCTTTCATAATGTTGTTTGAGTTAAGCAAGAGTATATAAAAAATGAACAAAATAAGGATGAGTTTGATTGAAATAACGTTTTCGTTTACATGCAAGCATGTAATAAGAACATGAATAGAGAAAGTAGAATTTATGTTTGATATTTCTGGTATTTTCGAGGATTGTAACAACACTGAATTTATGATGGTCAATAATAATACCATCGAAAAGAAAATGATGAACACAATTGTAGTAACATGTGATACAGAGACAGTAGGAGCATCTCAATGAAAAATTGCCTGATCATTTTTCGATACAGAGACTTTTTAGCATCAAATAGCAGCGTGTATGTAATGATATCTGTAGACTTCAGTTATATTTTCTCAAGAATTCGGCAGTGATTATCATGTTACTGCTTTTATCAATAATTAACAAGCGATCTGTAACTTTGTTAGAAGGATCAAGCGATCATTGGCCTATGGTCATGAAAAGTGACCAAATAGGTATTCAAATAAATGGCCATTTCCCAGTAGTGAATTGGAAAGTGTTCGAGGTGGTATTGAGTCTTTTGGAAGAGTTTTGGATAAACGAATCAAACAGGCAAGATGCCGATAGTTGGTATCAGAATTATGTTCGTTTTTTAGCTGCACTGAAGAATAGAGTTACTAAGTGGAGATGCAAAGATAGATATCGCCCTGCTCTTCCACCGTATATAATTGTTATGCTGAAAGAAGTTCGACAAGTGCGGAATAAATACTATAGAGAGAGGAAAAAGAGTGGTGGTATGGTGGATGATGATTACAGGAAGTTGTTAAGGATGATGACTAGTTTTGTTAAGAAAGAGATAAATAAATATAAATCTGACCGTTGGGAAAGCTTTCTCTCGACCATACAAGAGGCACATGATATACGAGGGAATGCCTTCTGGTCTCATCTATCTAAGATTTATAAGCCGAAAACACTCCCTCTATCAAAACTAGCTGTTGGATTAGGTACTATAGTTGATCATCAGGAGATAACGAGGGCACTTTGTGATTATTACACAGAACAAGCTAAAGCTCCCCTTATAAACAAGGATGATAAACACGATCTTGAAGTGGAAGAGGAGTATAAGCTAGTCGTGAACGATGTTACATCTTCCGCTCTGCTCGAGCTGGAACCGATCTCTGTATTGGAAATGCAAAAGTTGATTAGGAAGCTGAAGAATAAGAAATCATCCGGGTACGATGAAGTTTCCAATTATATGATCAAAATACTTCCACCAGCATATGTTCAATGCCTTACGAAGTGTTTTAATAGTTGGTTGCAAAGATGTCAGTACCCAGAGTTTTGGAAACTGGCGAAAGTGGTAACCCTAAACAAATTAAAAGCCGGTGTACCAAGAACCGATCAGACGAGGCCTATCTCCCTCCTGCCGACGCATTCGAAATTATTTGAGAAAGTAGTACTTGAAAGGGTCAGGATTTGGGCGGAAGGAGCCCATATAGTTCCGGCCGAACAATCAGGTTTTCGACCGGGCGGACTCTTGAGTACTAGAGTTCTGTCGATATACCAGGAAATAAAGAACAGTCTTGCGGCGAATATGCCTACGCTTGCTTTGTATGTGGATTTTAAAAAAGCGTATGACACTGTATGGCATGCTGGCTTGTTGGTAAAATTATCTAGGCTAGGAATGCCTTTAGAGTTGTTGAAAATGACCCTATCGTGGTTAAAGAACCGTCAGGCTTATATCTCCTTTGGAAAAGAAAGATCAGACAGGTTTCATATTGACATTGGATTACCACAAGGTAGCAGTTTGAGCCCCTATCTCTTTATAGTGTACCACAGTGATTTAAATCAATGCGCAGGTGCGCACTCAGGACACATTTATGCTGATGACTTAAGCATATTGGTAAAGGCGCCCATTAGGAGGAAGCTGTCCCCAACAATTGAATTCCTGGAAAAAGAAGGTTCGAAGGTCTGTACCAGAATAGCGGAATATGCAAGTAAATGGAAACAGCCGATCAATGTGCAAAAGACAGTTGGACAGGTTTTTTACACCCAAATAGAAAAGCCCCAATTAAATATATATATGCAGGGACAAAAAATAGAGATAGTAAATGCTTTTAAATATTTAGGGTTCACGTGGACGAATAAAATGTCGCTTAAACCTACGGTTGATCAATGTCTTGAAAAAGCTGAAAAGGCGCTTGCTAAACTGAAATGGCTGAAAAAAGGTAGAAAGATCACGAAACAAGTTTTAAGACAATGTTTCTTTGCATATGTCTTTCCCCATTTGGCATGGATATTTCCTGTCTATCCCCTTCTTCCGAAGACACAACGTGATGCCTTGGATAGAAAATTTCGAGTGGGTCTTAGAATAGTACATAGGTGTCCGTATGTAAAAGCAAATGATTTATTAGTAATAACAAATGAAAAACCACTCACTTTCTACGCGCAGAAATATATTAAGAAGAGACTGGAGAATATGTATAAGTCAGATCTATGTCGATCTGCCTTTCTAGAAGACATTTTCTATTGGAATCAGTTTAGGAAAAGGGACAAAGATTCATTAGGACAATTCTTTAGATTAAATAGAGTGAAGAAAATGATGAATAAGCATGAAACGTTACTAATTAAATGGATTGACTTTGTGTATGGATAAAAATTGTGTGTCATTGCCCCCCTCCCTTGAATAATTATATAAAATAATTATATAAAATAAGAAAAGCGAGCGAGAGACCTCGCCTATGACAAGGAGAATCACGATGTCTAACCCCTTTATCTTTATTTTTATCTTTCTTTTCTTATGTCCTTTTCTCCTTTCCTTTTTTTGTAAGCACTTCAGAGTGTAACAATAAAACGCAGGAACAAAAAAAAAATAATTAACAAGCGATCTGTGTATAAGCATCACAAATTGTTCAGTAATAATAAATTTCAAAAAATACAAACTTATTCGAACTGTATTAAACATTAATTCAGTTAATCTTTTTCTTGATCGTTCTAATTTATCAATTATATGTTGATCATTTCGATTAAAATCTTCTTTATTTAACATTGATTGTAAACTCATTAATTTAGTTAATTTATGAGGTTCTTTTATAATAAATGATAATATTTGGATTAGTACATGTCGATCAACAAGTATTATATGTTGTATTCGACTTTGACGAAATGTATCAAGTACTACAATATCAATAATATCTGTTTTAGTTGAATCATCAATAGATGAAAGAAGAATTCTAGCACAATCAAAATACTACATTTTCCATTCCTCTAATAACAGCTTGATCTGTTGTGCGATCAAGTTGTACTCGAAATTGAACATTTTCTGGTACACTTGTTTGAAAAATGTTGTTTTTTTTTAAAATAATGAATTAAAAAAATATTTTGTTTTTCATTTTACTATTACACTATTCAACAAAATCTTTAGCAGAAAAAAAAAACATTTTCTTATGTTGTTTTACTAGGAATATTTAAACTACGTTCAATAGATGAATCATGAGCAAATAGTATGATAATATTCATGTAGTTCTTTCACATGTTCATGTTCGACTATTGTTGTAAATATTTGTACAATAATTTTTACTTCAGGATGATCAGGTGAAACACCATGATATTGAATAAGATCAAAAAATGAAGATGATTTCTCAATAATATCAATTGTTCTTGTAATTGTTTGACAATTAAAGATACGTCTAGAATATAATATAGGGAATAATTTCTATAAAAAAAGTTTTTAATATCTTACTTGTAAATATTCTTTCTTAAAGTTAAATATAAACATTCAGAATAAATACTTATTCTCAAATTTCCTATCAAAGTTTATAAAGTCTAGTAACTATCAAGGTTTTAAGTGTGATTTTTTTATTCGTTTTATGAAACAGATTTGTCTAATTTACAAAACCAGTTATGAGTAGAAATAAAAATTTTGCATTTAACTCTTCAGAAGAATTCGTATGAAATGAAAAAAAGTTTAAATATTTGAATTTTATTCTTTTGTTAATCTTCAGTCGTATTTATGAACATCTTGTCCATTAAAAATAATAATATCTCATGTTGAACATGTTTTCTTTTCACATTGAATTTACAACAATAGAGAAAAAACAGAAGTAATTCTATTTTTCAGTCTTTTGTTTTTTTTAATTTCAATCATAGCTCACTCGCTTGTATTTAATTGTGAGTCAGATGGTGTACATTCTTCTTTTTCTTTAAAATAGATATATGAAAGATTAGTATCTCCATTAGCAATTGCGATAGTTTCGTTATTTGTTGTTAAAGAAGGTATTGCATGTTTTGTAGTTGTTCTAGATAGTATTCATAGTCAAAAACAATCATAATAATTAGGGAATAATTGTATAAGACTGAACACGTTGAATATGTATTAAGACTTTATTTTTCGATGAATCTTACTTTGTTAATTCATCTATAAATTAATGATAGATTTTAAATTAAAAAAAATTACAAGAACTTAAAAAAGAAGCAAACCAAATGAATTATTTGTTTTCAAATAATAATCTGATGAAGTATAACAAGTAGCTCTTTTTAAGGTTATTTTCTTTCAAATGGATTATAAGTTTCATGGAAAGCTTTGCTAAAATGATGAACAACAGTTAACTAAATAATAAAATGAATAAGAAAAAAACATAAATCAATAAAAATCGAACATTTACCATTCGATTAAAAACATGATTTGTCAAATATAACAAACTAATCTATATTCAAGCTCATTGTTATACAGCGTTTAATAAAAAGAATACAAATTTGAATTTCGATGATCAAGAATCAAGGTATAAGTTTTTATTTGCAATCAGATTCAATAGTAATCCAGTAATAAATTTTCATATGAAATAAATTTTTCGATGCAATGCCATACAAGCTATAATATAAAGAATCGTCGATATAATTTCAAATTGAAATGACTTGTTAACATAACAATTTATTAACTAGTTCTTTCGAAAAAAGTTCTTTATGAAAGTTCCACAAATATATACAACGTGAAACTCATATAATTCTTAAAGTTTTTAATAGTAACAAATTGTAATTTTAGTCTGATACGTTTCGTATATGCTAATACAAAGATTGAAAAAACTCTTTCCATTACACAAAGAATATTTTGAAACTAAATCAATTTATTTTCTATGATAGTTCAATATCAATATTAAAATCTAAAGTGAAAAGATGCTATTCGAAATCTATAGTTGAGATTTTATTGAATAAATTTTCTTATCTATTGAAGAATAAGAAAGACTTTTACAGAGAAGTAATTTACTAAGTTTTCAAAATGAACAGAATAATATCGAAAATAATCAAAAAGTTATTTTATTGAAGAGAAATGTTTATTCTTGATGCTACTATTTTTGAATATATTTCATATTTAGATGATGATCAAAGAACAATAGATCGAAGTCACTAATCATATTGATCGATTTTCTAGCTAGATTCTAGTCTCTGCTTATCAAGGAGTTATATTTGAACAGGCACATATCGTTGTTGTCTTCAAGAGAGAACTGTTTGCTATCTCATTCAGAAAAATTTCAAACTGATCAATTCGATTTCTCATTTCGATGCATCTCGGTTTTATTCATTTTTATCTTTTGTACGCTACGCTGCCGAAAGTGGAAGCGACCACATCTGGGGTGTATAGTCATATACATTGTCTTGATTTTCGATTCATGTTCAATATATGACTTGAATATAATATGTCGTCAACATATGCTATTTATTAGCAGTCATATTTTTATGTTTGTCGATGTTCGTCAACGAAGACAATTATTTCTTTAGCAGCGGACGTGTTTTGTTTGCTTTAATCTTTTGTGCACTACAATGCGGACGGCGAAGAAGGACAACATGGCTCATATTTAAACAGCGTCTCTCATACCATAAACATCTATCTTTCATTTGAATTATGGCAGAAGAGCTTTATGTTCGCTTCAAATTGTGTGATGGATCAGTACAAACAATTCTTGGTGTCATGCTCAAGCCCTATCCTGATTCCTATCTCACTAAACTCGTCTTCAATCATGACTTCAAATCGACCAAAGATGATCAAGGCTTCTTTTGGATCGACGAAGAACCACAAATATTCGCTGCAATTCTTACATTCTACCGACATGGTCAACTTCTTCTTTCCGATATTTTTGTCGGCATTCGTGATTCGATCATCGACAAATACCTACTGCCTGTTGAAAAATCTCCACGCATTCTTGATCCTTCTGAATTGACAACAACGATCAATATCACACGTGTTCGTCTTCGTGGAGCAACACGGAAATTGTTGTGTCGATATTCGGGAGAGCCCTTTACATGCCTATGCACCATAGTGGATCCAATGTGGACTGATTTGCCCGAATCACAAATCAGTGATTTTACTGTGAGTCCATCAAACTTTAATGGCATTCAATATGTGGAAAAAAGTTATTTGACTATAATGAATTTTTTGGTTGCTAGAGGCTACGAAATTGAACGGTTGGACGAGAAGAAGCAAGAAGTTGACTTGAAAAAAGTTAATGCATGAATAACAAGTTCAATGTTCTTTGTTTTTCTTTCGTATTGTCAATAAATAAGATTGAATGAAGTACTCAAGAAATACTGAAAAATGATTTGATACCAATACTGAACTAAGTTTATATAGAGTTAGGCCATTATGGATCAACTTGTCGAATAATATATGAGGATAAATTGGATGACAGCTTTTGTCTGTTACAAGTTCATTTTGAGGCTCCATCAAAGGGCGTGGGTGTAGGTGTGAGAAATAGAATGATACCTATACCCAATCTGAACTTTCTTTATCATTATTTAATCATGATATGTAAATGATGTTGATAGAAAACAATGCGTGTGTATAAAGAGAACAAGAAAGCTTTTCTTGTTTGTTATTATTCACTAATATTCCTACTTTCGGAACATACAACATAAATATCAATCGTCATTAATATAATTGATATTTTGGAATATATTGCTCGAGATTGTAGATATAGATAGATACAAGCGAGAACACATGCATATTGCATAGTAGTTTTTTTTTGTTCTCCTTCATGTATAATCTCTTACCTTTCATATGATAACTGACACATACTAACTTGACATGCTGTACAAAGAAGCCCTACGCTGTGATATTCCTCTATCACTAATAGCCTGTGCAGAGTGTGGGTGTGGCTTTAATTCTTCTCTTTAATTGTACTCATATGCATACCTACACCTCATCCTTGAGAATACTAGCGATGGGAAATGTCTAGCAGATAAACGTAGTGGTAAATCAGTTGATGATCTCCCAATAGAAATTCCATTTTGATTACCAAACTTTAATATGATATCTTTTATCGGTTGAAGACGAAACTCTTTCAACTGTAAATACTTTTAATTTTACTTTTTATATAAATGAAAAGCATTGATTGAAACTATATTAACCATATGGAGAAAGAACTTTTTATACCATTTGATTGTTTTTTTTAACGCATTCGATGAAACATGATTGCATATCAACTAAATCAATTGCACGCATATTTTCATTATAATCTTGAACACAGACAAGTTTCATAATCTGCCTTCCTGTATTGTGATCAATTTTTCAAACTGAGTATGAGGGTGTGAGTGTGTGTGTAGCGTGTGGATGCGGGTGTAGGTGTAGGTGTGGATGTGGGTTTGGATGCGGGTGTGGGTGTAGATTGTGTTCTGTGTTGCCCCACACTCATCCTCAAGATGCAGCAATTTTGATAGTGGGGAACACCAGATTTAATGTTATTATATATCCAAGGTAAAACACCAGCTAAACGAATACCTATTAGAAAACTTCAGAGATTTTTTTATTTGTTTTGCGGGTGTGGATGTGGAAGTTGATGTAGTTGAAGTGAATACCCACATCCACACACCACCCACACCCACACTCACACCAAAACCCATCCACGCACACCCACATCAACACCCAACCACACCCATTCACCCCCACATCTACATCAACACCGCACACCCACACATCATACACCCCGCACCCACACCACACTGACACCCACATCTACATGTACACTTTCTTTGAGAATGGCTGGTATTGAAAGGTATGATCCTAGTAAATATTAAAATTATTGAATATTTTCTATAATCATTAGAAGGACAATCAAGTCGACCATTGGCATAAAACTCATTCAAAATGTGATCTTGTTTCAATTCATATGCTACTTGTTCCTTGAACTTGACTAACTCGTAGTAGAAGCGAAATAGTATTGAACCTAAATATACGGTAAAAGATGCTGTTAACCGCCAGTAGTAGTATCATTTCCACCTAACTATCGTCACTTGTGAATTTAATTTTACGCATGGCATCTCTTATTGTTCGAGCTCAAATTCAAAGACTAATAGCGCGCAGTAGTTTGTTATTTTTATGAGCAATCACGTTAGATAAAATATAATTATTCAGAGAAGAGTAAAATAAACAAAAAAGATTTATTTGTGTCGTTGATGCGTACCTTGCAACAGTTATGTTTTTCAGGCCTTATTTCAGCGTCTCTATCTGAGCTATATTATGAAACATTCTAGAGGCTATTTGGGGTGCGGATGTGGCTATGAGGTGTAGGTGTGACTGTGAGATGGGTGTGAATGTTTATGCGTCATTAATCACCACAGCCACAGCCACACTCAGTTCTGGTATCAAATGTTCATTTTATTTGCGATAAAATCTTATTGTAAAGTTGTTCGATTTCAAATAAAAGTTGCCTCGAAAAGTAATAAATTGTTTTTGGAAAACATTGTAAGTACTTTTGTCTTGTAATAACTAATTAAATCAAAATCAAAAGCATATGTATATTTCTTCATTATTAAAAGCAACGGTTTTATTGAACTGGAAGGCGTGCATGTGATAGTGTGAAATTTGGCTGTAAGTATTGTGTACAGCCAGAATACAACTGCGCATGTGAGTGTAAATTTTCTCTTGATTCGCACTCACACCCACCCTACAGTCCAAGCCGCGAACTCCTGAGCTTTTCATATAGAATTTAAGTTCTGCATTCAGAGAGATGAGAATCATTGATTTATTTTTTTTATTATAAAGTTCATAAGGGAGACAGCATGAATTCAGATTGAGCATATTACATATATTTTGACCAAAGTGTTTTCATCAAAGGAAATTGTTCAACTTTCATGTCGATAAGTTTGGATTGCTCTTCATTGAAGTAATTGCGCCAGTCACCAATCTCACCTTTTCTGACAAATCCTGGCATATGTTTGGGTCGTTCACTGGTCCAACGATGAACATCTTTCTGCATTGACTCAAAGGAAGAGTGGTGAAGTACTTTTTCCAAAATATTATCGTCGATTTTTATTTCGAGGAATAGAGCGAGTCGTTCTATGATTTCTTTTGTATGACAAATGAGTTGCTCATAGGTACAGAAAAAAACGTTTCGATCGTTAAGTCGAGACTGCCATGATGAAAAATAATCAAAATAATCACCAGAACCAACCTGTCCATTAAGAAAGCGTGGGAAATAATCGTCAAATGTCCCATGTGCATAATCGTAGAGAGTTACAAAACCACGAGTATGATGAAAGAAGGAAACACAGCAATCTTTTGGGTTGCGTGCCACTACGATGTACTTTGCTTGCTCATTCCAGTTCAACATATTCAACGGTAGATGTGTTTTCACCACGGCATGATTCTCACAATAGGTGCTGCCTTTCATTTCCAAGAATGGAATTTCTTCGTAGATCTTCAAATCCGATGGAAATGGTTCTCCATTATGCAGTAATAAATATATGATATTTTGCATCTACGTTGTTCCACACTTGGGGAAGGTACAAATTACAATTGTGTTTGGCTTGGGAACGAATTTCAAAGCAGAATCAAATTTATCAGCTGAAAAACCAAATGGTATTAAATACCCGTTGCAGTTTATAAACTTTGGTCCCTTCGCATCCATGAAGAAGACGATGTCACACCTGTAAATACTCAAAATGAATGCGAAGATATAGTAAAGAAAGGTAATGGTCTTTTCAAAATATCAAATATTTAACGACACGTTGTCATTTATCGCGCCACTCAGTGATAATGACTCGATGATAACAAAAATAAATAAAACGACACTATTATGTATTCATGATCCAATCCTTCCAAAAAACAAATACGTCGAATACAACCATTTTGGAAGCATTGTAATGAGTATAATTGCTACGCGCAGAAGTGAAGTGTTGCGGTTCAATTTTATTTTCCACTCAGGTTGATGAATACCGACTTCGGATACTCCTGTGAACGACTCTATACGTTCGGTGTATGGTGGTGATCCATGGTCTAGCAAAGATTCACTTTCTGAAAAAACCCGTCCCAAAATTTCAGCTGTTCAAAAATCCACATTCAATATTTATTGAAATCGATCCTAGAAAATAAAAAGTTTATCGCTGACATTCTCATGAATTCAATGGATTTGCAGAAGACAACTCATTTCGTTTTTATAGTTTTCTGAAGATTCAGAAGAATAAAATAGATAATAGAATGAGGAGTGTGGGTGTGGGTGTGAATTTTAGCTCTAGTCACACGCACACGCACACGTACACCTACATCCCACATCCACACCCTCACGTCTAATGATCCTCAATTGAATGAAGTACGAGAAAAATAAATAGCAGTCCTGGAGTTCCCCACAGATGCCAAAACGACAGATAAAAAATGAAATTCGTTTTTTGACAGAAGAAAATATCTTATTTTACTCAGAATTTAATGCCGATTTAGAATATATCACTCTTTTCAAAAAAGAAATATCGTAGACAAAAAACTTGCCTTATCAACATTTGTCCTTTCGGGTTATCAAGTGACGATTTTCATCGTCCGTTTTCGAAATGCATCGACCAGTTTTAAAAGAGGTAATCATGTACTTACTGAAACATCTTTATTTTCGAGCATGGGTAGTAGCGAACAACTTTAGTATTTGTTTAAGTTTAATACTACTACGTGTAAAAAACAGAGAACAGTGGAAATGCCATGTAACTGTAATGACAGATGACGCCGATGATGACAGCAGTTAAATTCAAGCATCTTTTCAACAAAGGCTATTGCTATCATCGAAACACTCAATTGCGGAGTTTTTACATAATAATCAACAAACAAATGCAAAAATCCCAATCAAATAGAAGTACGTATTGAACACAGAAAAATCTGGAAAACCAACATACAGTTATAGATTGAAACTTTTAGAACACTTGACAAAATATATATACAATCAATCAATTACAATAAAAATATATTCCACTGAGTTATTTATCGATGATTCCGGTCTAAAATGGAAGTCGATCTTTTCACAATTCTTAAAAACTATATATTAAAATACAGAGTCATCATACGAACTGTAAGAAAACTTTCTCGTTTCGAACAGCGAGCAGCCAAACTCATTCAAAGTGGTAAGGGTTATTTTCGATTTTACTGTTGAGAAAAAGAATTTTCGGATACTTTAGTCATTCGCATTGACAATCCTTTACAGTTAAATTTCCAGCTCATATTATCTAAATGATATATTTGCAATTATACTTAGCCAATAAAACTGCATGGAATCTTGTCTGTTGATGAAAATATGTGCAACGATTAGACTATTCAAATTATTCTTACCTTTCTTTCGATCACAAGCTTCCTGTATGCTAGACATATTCTAGGTCGCAAATAAAAAAAATTTAATCCTAATTACCTTTAGGAGAAATAAAAAGAAAACAAAAAACGTCTAGAGAACACCTTGACTCTATATGAAGATATGTATGATTATGAGATTGCTTGAATAGTTCTCGTCTTCATTTTCGAATATACACTTCGAGAATTATTGAGATATCCCTCTAGAAAGAACAATAATAGTAGGAAGTTCAAAGTATCATTTTACATACATTGGTGTCTTCTTCAGATAGCTCATACGCAACAGGAAAGGAAAAGAATGATTTCTTCTGTTCGATTGATTGACTAAAATCAAATGCATGAATAAATAGTAAACATAAAAAGAGCAACATGACATTATGCGAACCGTCTGCATATATATAGTAGTTGAAATGAGATTAAAGAATTTGCGTCCTATGTGATAGGACATGTTAACGGGTGATTGATCTAACAGATCAAACACTGAATTCTCCCTTTATTGCCAAACAGATGTCTATATATATAGGATGTCCAGAAAGTAATAAAACAAAGAAAAGTTTGAATACATATCTCTGCCATATTTTGACCAAATAGGTTAATATTTTTACTACTGATAAAGGAGTAGCCATAGCTCATATTCATAAGGAAAACGTTGTGAAAAATTGTTTTGAAATAGCACAATTAACTTCAACAAAAACCTGTGACCTTTGACGATTTATGGAAAACCAATATTGCAGTTTTGTCAATGGTTGAAACTTTCAGAGTACACTGAATAACAAAACATATATCTGTAGTATAACTATGAGACAAAACAACACTAGCATGAAGAAGTAATCGAAAAAATTATATGTCGTCTATTCTTGGTTAAGGGAATAAATATATTGGTTTTTCATAACTGGGAAAATATTATAGCTTCTCGTTGAAGTTAGTTGCACTACTTCAAAACAATTTTTGGCAACGTTTCCCTCATGAATATTGGCTATACCTACTCCTTTATCAGTGGTAAAAACAAGTAACACGACGCAAACGCCGCTAACCTTCTACTGAAAGAATGTGATTTCGTTGAACATATGGTATTCAAGAAGAGGAAGATCAGAACTAATGTGCTGCTATGCACCTATGAAAGAGTAAATAGTTTTCGTCACCATGGCCCGCTTGGTAATTTAGTGAGTTTGATTTAACCATCGTATCCCTTCATTTACTGGATTCTGTTTTGAAGACTATCGCTGAAAACACACACATTTATACAAAAGAGTTCTTTATAATCTTGCAAAAGCTGACCATTTCTTCAAAAGAGTGGATCTTTCTATTGAGATGCTGTAAGTGAACCTTTAGCAACAACTCACCGTATATCGTTTTCATCCCTACATGAACTGCCACTCTCGATGGCTCGATTTCGCATTTGATCAGAGTAGTATTTAAAGTAATGCTTTATTTTCTTGTTCAGGACGTTTTAATAGTCCGCAAAAATCTATGAAAATGAATTTCATTTTCAGATGTCAACTATGAACTCTGTATAGTGAATTTAATACGATTAGTAAAATTAAAGCAATTAGGGTCGATATTTAAGATGATGTAGTGGAGATGGAATTCATAAGAATACTACACTAATTTTGGTGGTCTCTATTCTAGCGAATTCTTTTCTCATAGTTCAGTCGAGGTCTATAGAAATTTGTCTCATAAAGTCTTTTCTTTTTAGTAATTATTTTAAGAAAAAGATGTGAGATTGGAAGATCTTCGAAAATATAGGTTAACATTCCAGAAATCTTGTTTTCTCGATATCCCAAAAATAATAGTTGGCACATAATACATGTATATGGACCACTTTTGCGTTTCATTTTTCCACCACTTAATACGCTCTATTAAAAAAACAAAATATACCACAAAATGCAGCATGAAAAGGTCTACAATCTACACAATAAAGCGTATTTTAATTATGT